AGATATAAAGAAATTGTCTTTATATAGATTCTATATGTGTTCCTGCAAAGTTGGCAATTTTGTAATCAGACATCTAAACATCTGGGTTTCATGGCGTAGAACACAGATGGCAACACTCACACAGGTTTAGCGATTTCGATAACGAGGAACCCACTTTGAGACTACTAATGGTTGGAGACGGCTTGAATGGGTAATGAAGAAAGACTTTATTATAAGTTTAACATAACTGCAAATGTACAATGTTTCGATAAGGTTTTGTCATTTGCTTTTATGTTCAACTTGTATTAAAGTTTTTCTTCATTACCCATTCAAGCCGTCTCCAACCATTATTAGGTTTAGCGATTGTTTCAAGTACAGGGGGATATTCCCGCATGCCACAGTAGATAGAAACTTTTGATGGTAGCCGTGGGGTAAATCCGAATTACGAAGTGAAAGGGTTAAGTAAAACAGGCGCAAATATGAACAGAACAGCTGTAAAATAAACTTTCATCCAGTTATTGATTTGAAGTTCCAGAAGCTCGAGTTTTTCTGCGGTTCCGTATTCTTCTTTTAATTCAAAAGATTTGCAATAACTTATGGTAAAACAAAACAATATACATAATGGACTATAATTAAACAAATATACAATACCCACCAGGTGGCGTAGCAATGCCGTATCCTTTTTGATCCAGTAGTCCACCGATCTGCATTAACTCACAGTTTCTCTCAGTCCGGTATTCAATTGACGTAGATTCCATTAAATAGGCGTAGTTCCCTTTTAGAACCCGTTCCATGCCTTTCTCATTGGACTCGGCGAACACTGTGGGGCGGGAGGATTCCATGGCTGCCCACATACGCTTGTACGTTGGGATTGTAGATGACTGGACAGGGGAAAACAAAATTAACCACGTGGGTTGTTTAAAAAACTTCTTAAATTATTCATGCATTAAATTGCTCGCCGGGGTGTTAACTTTGTATAGCCATCCAGAGCAAAGGGCCTTGAGGGTCCCTTGCCGACCGCTAAAAACTTGCTTTCGGAATGTTGCAAGTAATTTTCAGATGGTTGCATTATGTTATTTTTTTTGTTCCCTGGTAGGCTTTGAACCACTAAGAAACATGGCTAATGGAGATTAGTTTACATTTAATCACTCCATGAGAACTCTGTAAATGACACTGTAAACACTGCTTTGTATATCTTTACAGGAAGCTGATATTGCCATCGCTGACCTAACTATGACCTACGAACGAGAAGAAGCCGTCGACTTCACGATGCCTTTCATGAACTTGGGGATCAGTATTCTCTTCAAGAAACCAACCATCAAAGTTCCGAAGCTCTTCCAGTTTCTGGCGCCACTGTCTCTGGACGTATGGATTTACATGGTTACGTCCTATCTTGGGGTCAGCCTAATGCTCTTCATCCTTGCCCGGCTGAGTCCGTATGAATGGGACAACCCCCACCCCTGTGACCCCGAAAACGATGTGCTGGAAAACCAGTTTAACCTGAGTAACAGCTTCTGGTTCACGATCGGTTCCTTGATGCAGCAGGGTTCGGATATAGCTCCTAAGTACGTAACCATGGTAACGTCATCCTTGATTTGAATTCAAGATCGTAAGTTTAGAGTGACTTGAATAACAATATTTGTTTCAAGATTTTGGGTCCCTTATGCAGAAGGAGTCTTCATCTTCATCCCTGGCTCGTAAGGTTAATGTTATACAATAATGTAGTTTAAAAATCATGTGTCACCTTTAAATAATGCATTGAGGGGACTTTTATCACCACATAATATCGTACATTTGTTATCTCTCGCAATATATTCTTTAAAACAATGTGCTCGAAGCCAAGTAGTTAAAGTGACTGACGTTAAATATCAACCCAACTTCTGTGCACATTTATAATGAATTAGAGTTAAGAACTGAAATCCAAATTGTTTAATGGTGTTACTAATTAGTAAAGTAACCCCATCTTTTGCTTTAAAAAACAACTATATACTTTGGATATTAGTCATAGTTTTTATTCTCTCCTTTGCACCACCAGTGGCTGAGCCTGTGGACTTTAAGTTAAAAACTGGGTTTCGATACCCGTGGTGAGCACAGCACGGATAGCCCATTGTGTAATTTTGTTCGTAACTGCACTCAAACACTCATGTCATGTAGTTTCCTAACGATGTTTCAAAATTTGAGAAAACAAGCGTTTCATTTCGAAAAATTTGCTCTTCATTAACGTTTCGCTTGTTTTTGTTATGCAAGTAGTGAGTCACAGCTTCTATTTCATTTTTTTTTACTTATTTGGATTACTAATATGAGAGATTGATAAGTCTTAACAAGGGTTCTAAAAAAAGTTTCAGATGTTTATACCAACTTCATTGTCACCGTTGCGTTGTTTACGTATGGTTACTTCAGAGGTTTCAGTTTTTATTCTTGTGTTTAATAAGGTCGTCTATCGTCAAAAAAAATTATGTGTCTAGCAGACAAACAAAAGTTAGTTTGGAATTATCAGCCAATTGGCATAAACAGGCTCGCCTTGTGGAAAAAAATATAATAAACAGATTTGATCTTATTGTAATAGTTGGAACAGTTATTAATTTCACCCTTCCGTGAGTAATTTAGGACATATCTTTGTTAAGGTATGTATCCGTAATTTTTCTAAATTTCCGTGCACGTGTTCAGCGAATAGTTGTGATATACTCGTTAACTGAATGTTGAAAGATCGTAAACAGATGCTAACCCTTTTACTTTAGTAAAGGTTGTATATGGTAACAGCAAACGTTTTAAACCTTTTACTTAAGTAAAGATTGCATATGGCAACGGCAAAAGATTATATCACTTTGGACTTTTATCTGTGAATGGGGAATGGTGGTAGCTTATCTCAAGGGATGATACAGATACTTGTACAAAGTGGTACGAGTTAGAAGTTTTCTCCGTTATGGGTGTTATACGGGATGGCAGGTAACGTATGCAGCTTGAGGTTAAATTGAGGCCGATCAATTTAAGTATGTTTGCGGAATAAAGGTTTGTTTTGTTCAAAGATCTAAAACGACATCTACAGGAGATGAAGTGAATCATTATAACTCATAATTATACACAATGTTCTTAGATTAAAAATAACTTGTGAATGTAATATTTATCAATTGAATAACATGCTATGATTCCTATAAAAAATAATTGGACTATAAATATTTTTAGAGCCATGTCAACTCGCCTCCTAGCGGGAATTTGGTGGTTCTTCACGCTTATCATGATTTCTTCATACACTGCTAACTTAGCGGCTTTCTTGACTGCTTCGAGAATGACCTCTCCGATAGAGAGCGCTGAAGATCTTGCCAAGCAGACGAAAATCCAGTATGGTTGTTTGAAGTCCGGATCAACAAAATCTTTTTTTCAGGTTGATTTTAAGATTAAAATTTGAATATAGAATACATAGTCATAGAGGGCGCCAAAGTCAATATTAAAACTATCTTTAAACCAAAGCTTCTAAAGTGAATTAGATTAAAATATTCAATTTTCTTATGGCTGTGAAAATGAGTAAATCATTTTTATATTGAACAGCAGTTTTTTTGTAAATAAGAAAAATTGAAAGTTTTGAAACGGGCCTTCTTTTCCTAACGAATAATCCATAAAACTTGAATTTAAGTTAAACGGTTGCTGTTTATTGTTGAGGAATAACAAATTTGACATTCTCATTATTCACGTACTGTTTTTGTTTTGTTTTTTTAAATATAGTATGTTAGGGTTATCTGGACAATCTGTTATTTGTGCCTCCAAAAACGAGGCCTCGCATGGCCTGATGGTTAGGGCGCTAATCGCAATATGTGGGTTGCGGGTAAGAATCCCTGTCACCGAACATGCTCGCGCTTTCAGCCTTAAGGGCATTATAATGTTATAGCCAATCCCACTGTTCATTGATGAAAGTGTGGCCCAAGAGTTTGCGGTGGGTGACGTTGACTAGCTGCCTTCCCTCTAGTCTGTCACTGCAAGATTAGCACTAAGATTACATATTTATATACTGTTAGGTACCGGTGGGGTCCACATATTGAGTGTTGTTTTTACCTGTTACAATACTTATTTTAAATAATTTACACAAGAAGGCCAGGCAGTAATCAGATTAATTTTCTGTGATATTGAATGTGCTTTTGTCTACATTTTTCTGTGTGACTCGTGTAACCAATAAAATTATGAGAAGCAGGGATGTGGCTTCCTACACACAAAATCGCAGACATCCTTAAGAAGTCTTAAAATTCGCCTATGACTTTCATTGCAAGAGTACTAATTTGTTTAGTATGGAATATTTTGAAGCCAAAGTATCCGGGAGCTGATTGATCGGGTAAGTCGCTGATCCGGGAGCTGATTGATCGGGTAAGTCGCTGATCCGGGAGCTGATTGATCGGGTAAGTCGCTGATCCGGGAGTTGATTGATCGGGTAAGTCGCTGACCCGGGAGTTGGTAGACCAGGTAAGTTGCTGATCCGGGAGCGGGTTAACTGAGCAAGTCACGGATCTGGTTGCTGATAGGCCGGATAAGTCACTCGAATCAACTTATCTTAACCTTGTAAAGAAAAGTAATTATAACTTAAATCATTCAGGATTCGGGTGTAATTTACCAGGACCTTAGAATTAATTCTCTGTAGCCTTGAAATAAATCTTGAAATATGACGTATTTTGTTCTTTGAGTCAAGGAACCCTGAGGATCAAATCGCCTGGCTTCCAAATCAGCGACTTACCCGATCAATCAGCTCCCGGATCAGCGACTTACCCGATCAATCAGCTCCCGGATCAGCGACTTACCCGATCAATCAGCTCCCGGATCATACCATTCCACTCGCCTCTCTCATTTTTCGAACCGTGTGATTTGTCTTTCACAAGCTGGATGGTGTACTTGAATTCGAGGACTTTGGACAATTCATGGATCAGGTCAATGCAATAACCTTCGAACTTATCGTTTCCTTCCAGCATATCGGCGTTCTCTTTAATCATGGTGTATGGGTGATTCTGGCCAAAACACAAAGACGAATGAAATAGAAGAGGTTTCTATTATTTCAGTTAATACTCCCACTTATTTCAATTAATACACGAAAAGTGTCAGTTTATCTGTTTCGTTTAGAATGTTATGATTGAATAACGAGACTTTTACAAACATACGCAATGTAGAGAAACTGGTTTAATATACACAT